TCCATACCCGTACTCACACCCACAACCACATCCTCAAAACAGTAGAACATTTGTTATAGTTTATTGTCGTATAAGAAGAATAAGCTACTCAAAATAATAAGTTATTTTCAGACATTCGCTAGACGAAATTTGTATTTGATCTTAGACAGTCAAATAACCAGTCGGCTTGTTTTGTCTACAACGAAATGTCATGACATATGCTTAAAAACAATGAAAAAATTGTTACGATATCTTTTGTTGTTTGAGAGTAATGAAGAATTTAAAATAGGGAGTGTCTTTCCAAACACTCTGTATATTCAATATGAGTAAAAAAATTTTTGAAACGTAATGTATTCTAGGAGAGTATATTTTTAAGAAAAGATATTATTAATTCATGTTGAAAGATATTCACTGAATTCAATGTACGATGACTGATAGTTAGTTTCTGTTAGCTTTGGATATTAATAAGATGCGTCTTATGAACATATTTTACGGCAGCAAATCCAACGACAGTCATTCTGGCTATTAGTTTCAGCTATTGTATAGACCAGTTTTTCGACTGCCACTTTATTTTCCATCATTCGTTTAAATCCTTCTTCCACTCCATCCAACGCACCTGGTATCTTCGTCACTCTATTCGATTTCAGAAGTCCTTCAGGTAACAAGACATTTGAAACTAATTTATAGAATTTCTTGGCAAATTTTTTATCTTTCAATTTGGCTTTGTAATGTTTACCAAAGAGACTTCTTTCGTTTTCAAACATCGTATACATTAAAACTCTGTGTTCTTTGATATGGGGTGGTATTTCACTTGCTATAAAAGGTAGAACAGTGCATAATTGCGAATTACTGGCAGTGAGTGCAGCACAGACTTGTCTGGTTGCTTCCTTTCCTGATATACAATCAAAAGCGTAAGCCAAATGATCTTTGGCAGCTTGTTTTATTTTCGACATAAAGTATGGATCTTTGTAGTCAAAACAAACATCAGCACCAAGTTCTTACAAATAATCATGACGAGTGGGTGATGCTATGGTGAGGGTGTGGGTGTGGGTGTGGGTGGGTGTGGGCGTGGGTGTGGGTGTGGGTGGGTGTGGGCGTGGGTGTGGGTGTGGGTGTGGGGTGTGGGTGTGGGTGGGTGTGATTTTTTCTTAAGATCGGTTCTCATACCCACACCCTAGTTTTCTAATTAAATACAAAAACTATAGAAAATGTTATACTCAATATGTGCATATTTATTAGTGAAATTTGAACACTGATCTTGCTTGCACATTTTATTAGATCAATATTGTAACGACAAACTGGATTGAGTAGCTTACCGCCACCCTCGGTAATGATGTTTATTCAGCTACTTCACATATCCAGAGTGTGTCTATTGCACATTCAACACACGCTTATATATGATACAGAAATAAAGAAAGAGGGACGACACAGAGAGAACAATAGAGAGAAAGAGGAAAGAGGAAGAGCAGCGAGCCGTGACGTATATATCGGCACAAATATGTTCTACAAATTCTGAAAATTTCGTGCAATTGGAAAATATCCATTGTAAACGTGGTAAAGATCCTATGAAATACTCCTCTTATGAGTGAATCGTTTTTCCCTTCGTTAAATATTGTCTTTGTAGATAGAGAAATTCTTTGAGAGAAATATCGAGTGTTTTCAATGAAAAAAATGCCGATGGGCAGAATTGAGATTGTATCACTAATTCTAGAGTACATGGATCAAATTAATGAATCATTTCATATAAATAATTCACAACAAATTCTCCACATAGTTGACATTCATTTGTCTGTCTCATATGCACATGATCTGATGCTTGTTAAGAAGAAAACCCTTCTTCGTGCTAATAATTAATGTTGTACAATCTTAATGGTTAAAATAGTTGTGATCTGATATTTAAAGAGGATTTCCATGAATATCAAATGAGACCAAAACGAAATTGTTAATCTAAAAATCGAGGTCCTGTATAAATAAATTCTTGTTCAACTTTTTTCTTCAATGACTGATTCAGATGTAGATGTAAAGATTGAAAAAGTATTGTAGGTGATACTTTCAAACACATTTGTTGCCCATGCGAAAGTATATATTCTTTGTCAGAAGTATGAATTTTTATGAAAAATGTACCGATGACTTTGATTCATATTCATCGATAATGTTATGATAACATTTTTCTGTTCATTTATCTTCTTGGGCAATGGCTGTGAAATTGATACTTGACTTGATGATTGTGACACCCATTTATCATTATTATCAGACTTTGCTGTCGTATTATATCTATGAATTGTGGAAGCCATACGTATCCTATAACGCGACAATGTTTCCTATTTTACGTAGTAGATTGTGCATTATGTATCAATTCTTTTTTATACAGATACTAATCACTTGATAAGATCTGTAAATTTGACACATTCATATGCTTGTTCCGATCATTTCTTTTACCTTCTACCCTGAAGATAGTTTATCGTTACAGCATAACTCAGATTGATTGTTTGTTTGAAAAATCCTCAGTGGAGCCGGTTACTTATTGTTAGCTACATTTAAATGATATATTTTCAAACCAAAAACTAAAGTTTCATTTTTCATATGAAACTTTCACATTGAACGAATGTTACTCCAGACAACGAATCATGTGTGATTATCTCATACAAACATACTTTTACAGTCAGATAATATCAACCTGAAAATAATACCAAGTTAATATATGAGACTTATTTTGATCGCATCAAACAAGAGTCACAGTATGTTTCTTTATTGTTACAAAATTAAGATAACTGTTATGCTAGCACGATTACTCACAGCATGAAAATAAAAATAATAGAAGTAAGAATGTAAAGAGAAAAGAAGAAAATAGAATATAAACGTTACGAAAAGAATTTGTCACTCAAATTATTCATCTCTGCGTTGGAGTCGGATAATGGCTTCCTTAGGTGCAATGACAGGCATTTCTGTGAGTTGTTCAAATGGTTTACGTGTTTTTTCACCACAATCAATTAGTGTGTATGTTTTGAGCAATCGAACAAGTAACATTTTCATTTCAAGCAAAGCAAAACGCATGCCTACACAATTACGTGGTCCAACTCCAAAAGGAATCCATGCCATTGGATGTCGATTAGTAGCGAATCTTTCAGGATGAAACTCATGTGGATCCAAAGGACCCCATAAATTTGGATTGTAATGCAAATTGTACATGTCGACAGCAATCAGTGTACCTGCTGGCACGGTACCGAAGTCTTTGATGCGAAAATCTTCGTTACTTTGACGACTAATCGCCGTTGGTGCTATAGGAAACATGCGAAGAGTCTCTCGAATAAACATATCAAAATAATCCATTTCGGAGACAGTTTCATATGTTGGCATAATGTTTTCTGTTTCTGGATCGAAATGAGCATCGATATGCTCCTGCAACTTTCGTTGTTCTTCCGGATGAGTAGCAAGAACATACGCCACATAACTAAGAGCTGTACTTGTAGTCTCATAACCGGCAACCACTATAATGTAAAAAGGAAAATTTAATGACAGCAAGTGTAAGAGAGATTGCTTTACTCACTGAAAAGGAGAATATTCGCTGAGGCCTCATATTTAGTAATTTTTCGAACCAGTGGGGCTTCGACTCCAGTGTTATCACTTTTCTCGAACGATGATAGCCCATCCTGTCGGAAAAGAAATACGAATTGAACAAAAACCTTGAACTTATATAGCTTCATTCATGTAAAAGAAGATGATTTTATTGTTTTCTCAATTGTCGAGAGAATCTTACTTGAATGAAATCTTGGTCGGACATGGATTCGAGCATCAACTGCAATAAATCTGTTCGACCAGTCTGACCAATATTTTTACGTTTTTCGATCATTTCGTTAGCTTGTTTCATAATCCATGTACTAGGACTTTCGTCAATGAGTGACTTTGTAATGGGAATATAGCGCCGAAGCCAATAGCGGATAACATTCGTTACCTGAAATATACTTCTCCAGATTTTTGTTAATTCTGTTATCAAAAGAGTCAAAATGAATATTATTCCACGAAAAATATTCGGTGAAAACATCTTTTGTGAATTGAGGAGATATGGATCATTGACATTATTTTGCATATCAGTGTCGAGACCAACACCACATGACCAAATAGTATCCATTGTAAATCGTTTGAAATATGCATAGATATCAAATGGTTCACCTTTGGCACACTGGTCTGCCATTTTTTCCATTAAAAATTCGATACTTCGATGAATCAATGGTGACATTTGTTTGAGTTTTAGTGAGGAAAATGTTGGATTGAGAACAAATCGTTGTCGTTTCCAACGAAGACCGACGGCATTGAACAGATGAGCATCCTTTGCTTGTGAACTCATAAAAGGAGATTCACGACGAGAATGAAATTTCGAGAATGATTTAATAAAAACATCTTGGAGAACTTCTGGATCCGATATGACAAGAATAGGGGTATGTCCTTCAAAATAACCAAAGATGTGACCATACTTGTCAGTCCATTGCTGAATTGCAACCGATGGTCTTCTAAAGAGCCAAGAGTCTTAGTTGTTCTCAGAAAAATTGTTCGTTCTTTCTTATTACAAATTTAAAAACGCTCAAAATTGGAAAAAATTATTCAAAAGAAACGTCTAGAATAATTAACTTTCACTATTAATACAATAACAAATAACAGAATCTTTTACATTCTCATAAATCATGACAATCTTTTTTTTTGTTGATTGAATAACCTTCTCTGTTAATTAAACATTGTAATCTTCTTAGTGTTGAATTCATCAATTTTAAACACATTTGTGAATTGATTGTTCTCCAAATCTCTATAATTTTGGTTTTCAACATCGACCAAGCTAAAATTTGTCGTCTAAGTTTTTTTATTATATTTTCGCAACATTAATATTTAAACAATCGTAAAATGAGAAATTGTTGGAAAAGTTTTATCGAAAACGAATGGTGGACAATGTTCAGATGTTAATATACATCCAAGCAGAGTTAAAGGATATTTAAAAAGTATACTACAGACATCTAATTAATCTTAATATATAATTCGATTCGTTATAATTCTTTTTATGTAATCCTTCGCTATTTTGATTTTAGGACATGAAAAAATCTTCTCTATCATACGAACCTACATATCTCCTCTATAATAAGAACTAGAGATCTGAAAATTTAGAGAAATATTCGTCTAGTTACAAGGGATTAGATATCCAATTTTGAGCGTTTTTGGATTGTAATAAGGAAGAACGAACAATTTTTCTAATTTTGATTCACCCTTTAGCTTTAATGATTTTCGAAAGGTTACCAAAGAAAAACTTTGGTGCTGGTCCTGGAATGCCGAGTCGAATGAAGAAATTGTAAGCTTTTCGAACGTGCCATAGATATGCAGCGACAACAACGCATAGCAAAGCAACGAGAATACCTGTGAGTAAAAACATTTTTGTTGTGCTTTTTTATGCCGCGACAACACAATGCATAAGTAACCATCTCTTTTTTTTTCATTCTTACAGTGAGACCATGAAAAAAAAAACATCTCTTTCTCCTATCTTCCTTTTCGTTCTATCGCTTCACTAAACTGCGCTAGTCAAGTACATGTTTTTCTTTTCGCATTAAAATGGTCTATTCATATCAAGTTGTATATTTGGTTGACAAAATCACATGGATAGATACCACCCAGGCTGATAACGTAACAGTCACAATAGTGTTTAAATATCACAATGTACAAAGTGCGCGAAAGGCTTCTTTAGTCACCAAAAAAACAGCGTTAATCATAGTGTATGATTAATCGATTTTTAACACGCGTTTTTGGTAACAAATGGAACATATTTCACGATTTGAACAGTTTAAAGAAAATGTCTGTTAACTCTTTGAGACGTTGCACCACCTCTTTTCCAGTAAAGAAGGAAAAATCATAGACAAGAGATATGTTACAAAACTTGTATTTAGAAGAAGATAGTTGCTGAGGGTGTGGGTCATGTCTTTAGTTTATTCCACACCCACACCCACACCCACATCCACACCCCACATCCACACCCGCTAAACAAAACGTTCGTTGTGCCACCCTGCATAAATATATAAACGTCATGCAAAAAAAAGTTGCGGATTAGATTGAAATCAATGTTTTAGGTGAGATTTACTTTAATGTTGAACCTTACATTGGCAAATATTTCTAATAGTACTAGTTCATTATAAGTGAAGAAAATGTCAGACCACCCAAGCAAATGGTGCCAGAAAGTTTTCACAATAGTTAACAAACCCATAATGCAATTCCTGTTTTTTTTTCTTTTTGTTTAATTAACACTGTTTCTTCATTAGTCATTACTCTCTTTTTTCTAATAGTGAAATTAAATGAAGAAAAAATGTTGGTGTATCTCTTTACTTAAAGGTATTTTTGAGATAAGTTGCAGATTCTTTTCTGATCTGCATAAACGTTATATACTGTAATATATAGCTTAGAAGAAATACTAACTGTGTTTCATCAACAGGTTCTATAAAGAATTTTGAACTTATTCATAAGTAAAATATTTTCATTGCCTATAAGATAATGTAGTACATGAACAATTCCATCCATGTTTTTCCATCTTTTAAAAATCTGACAAAATAGTAAAACATCTTTTGTTTTAATTATTAAACATCGGATGGCGTTTACATTTTATCACACGAAAGACGTTTGTTGGTCCAGTCAGACCCACATGTAGATAGGTAAGAGAAATCTGATTTTTCTGTGTAATTTTCGCTAGATATCGATGAATCGAAGACATACATAATGACCTCTTCAGATACAGGTACATCGGCACAGATCTTGATGTGAAAAATTTTGCAATTTACAAGACATTTTT